ATTCATTAAGAAATGATAATAATGAGAAGGAAAATAGTGATAAAAATAGAAATGTGGTATAAGAAGATAAAAAATAAGAATAATAGACAAATGAGAGAGCACGTTATTGGGATTGTAAAGTTTTATCGTGATATTTGCTCTGACAAACCGAGGATGCTTTATTACTAAAATATCACACGAAACAATATAGATTTTTAATATCCAACAATTTAATATTCAATAAATTATCTTTCTTTATATGTAAAGATAGATAAAATATTAAAATATAAAAGTTTTACATTTGTGTGTGAAATCATTTTAAGTTAGCTAAGAAATTCATCGAATGCGTGCGTCTGGAGTTATTGGTTCGCCCGAGCTAAAGAGGGCCGGAGTGCAAAGAGTTAATTATCGATTCTGCCCACATGGCGATTACCACGTAATCGTAAGGTTGATAAAGATCGAGCCGAGTTAAGACCCTTTGTATTTATATTTAACACGTTCGTCGGCCAACGTCGAGTTCCTCGCCGTAAGAACGTAAACAGAGCGATAAATGGGAAGTAGTAGTAATTCTGAATTAGTTGTTTTCAGTGCCTCTAATTCTTCGCTCCCTTACTTCGCTCGTTTCCAAACTCAATTCTAAGTATTTTGGTGAATATAAGCCTCTAATTCTTAGGCAACTTCAACTCAGTTCTATATTATCGATGGTAATAACACCCTCCTATGTTACCATATAATTTTAGATTTAAAATTGTATAAAAATGCTTTTTGATTCCAAAGTATATTTTGTATTTGTATTTCAGTGCTTATTCCATTAAACTTCTTTTAAAATTCCGCTTTAACTCTTTGCATTCGTATAATCGCTGTGTATTTACATTAATGAATATATGTATAATATAATTACATATAATATAATATAACATTCTAGAAGATTCTTCTTACTTGACTTTCTTAAATATAAAATGGTTGAAATATTATTTTTTGAAGAAGATTGCCAATCAAATAACAGTCCCTTAAAATATAATACAATCGCCATCCTACATTTCATTATTATATTAGTGCATATCATGTATTATTATACGTTTATTATTATATATATATATATATTTTTGCAAATATTAAAATCTCGCGCGTTTAATTCGCTATTTTCGGCGAATACGATCGATACCTACGCGCCCCGATTTCGGGGATCCTCGAGGGGAACGGAGGGGGAATCCGAAGGGAGAAACTTCGCATGGCGAAAGATCGTCCCGCTATGCGAACTGTGCGCAAAGCCTTTATGACGTATCAAACGTAATACGGCAACATTGCCGAGGAAGGAAACCTCAAACCGACCTACCAGTTCTGACATCTTAAAGCCATTAAGATACCGAGTTTAACCAAGATTTGTTGGCATTGTACAACTGCAAGACGTATTAATCCGATTTACGTCGATCCGCTAATTAACTTATCGTGGCTGACGAGGAGTCGAGCTCGAGCTCCACGCGTCCGCTTCGTTTCCCCGTATTCTCGGCAAAACTGGAAATCAAACCGCCTGCTCTATGCGCGTCCCAACTCCCGTTATTTCTCGTGACCTATCCTCTTGACGACTCTTTAAATTCTGTTGGAAGCGCGCGAATAACAGTTCGAATAACGGGAGAAAGTCGCATTTTCCTTCGAGTTTCGGTTAAATTTTCGAGGATCATTAGCAGGCTGCAGGATGAAAAGTTGAGAAGGGTGCGTACAGAGGCCGGTTCGCAAAATCGTTCTCGCTCCAACTTTTCTCCTTAGCTACGCGATTTCGCCAACAAACAACAAACTTCCATGAACTTCTTCTCGTTTCTTTCTAGCAAGGCTGACCATCCGATTCTTTTATTTCCCTCGTAAAGTGATTCACGCGACTCAAACTTGCCAAACTTTCGCCGATATACATTTTTGAGTTATGGGTAGGTATCTCTCGAGTTGTAGTCATCGAGGCGATCAAAAACGGAAATTCTCTCGATTTATAATATTTCCTGTGTCGAATGGAAAAGTAAAAGTAAAAGTAAATTATCGATCTTTCGATTGTAAATAAAAAAACACTTCTCTGGTTAGTTCGTAGTTAATTGATTCTTGATCGTCATTGTGGTATAAGGAGAAATTAAGTAACGTGTTTTTATAAAGAGGTAAAAGGTTTTAGCGATATAACTGAAGTGTCGTTCAGAATAATACAATATCGTATGTTATATTCATTTTTCGTTCGTGAAAAGTGAAATAATTGTATTTTTCGTATAAAGTAAATACGAATAATATTATATTATATTCGTATTTAATTGATTCAAGAGAAACATCTTGGAAAAACACGCCTTTCTCGAAAAATCAACAATAACAGTTACATCACTGTTATTCTGAATCGCTTGAAATTGGCGATGTATCGGTGCAAAGATCAAACGTTTGTTCGATCTTCACAAACTGCGATAGCAATTATTAGGTTTCCTTAGAAAAATATGTGTTAATTTTGAATAATTCGCAGAACGAAATTCTATATGTAATTCTATATATGTAAATCTTTTATGCGATTATAATTAATATCGTGATATCTTTGAAAACTACGAAATGTAACCACTTCAAATTTCATTATTGTCTAAACCTTTTGTCAATATTTTCTTGCCTTTACAACGTGATCTCTTATATGCAACAACATATATTACGAACCACCTCAAGATTACATTGCTTACGTGTATCGTCGTAAATTACGTGACACGATATTTATTTTTCGAATTTTTATCAAAAATCCAATGCACTATTTTCACATAAAACTTTATATACAAAGTGTTGTAAATAAACCGTTTTGCATACAGTTTCGCACAATTTACTATCTTTCTTGTAATTACAATCGAAAAAGAATCTTTTGTTTCTTCTGTTTTATTATTTATATTCATTGTTTTCATTTAAAATTTCGTAATATTTCTTTTTTTGTTTTAAAAAAAAAGATATGAAATTGTGACTTATCTATACGAACGTTTTACTCGAGTATTGCGTAACGATAGTTCTCATTTAACGTTAAAAACTGCACTCTCCGTTCTTTCCTATTACGCATTTTACACAGGCAAGAAGTATTTAACACAAACAAATGAATAATTTCAAAACGATGCCAAGAAACGTACGGTATTATTGAAAAATATTCGTTTTGTTGATTTTTCTTTAAAAGTAAAACATGTTATCTATTCTTTTCCCTCTATTCTTTTTTGTAAACCCGTGCAAAATTATCCCGAGTTTTATAATAAAGTAAAGACGAACGTTGAGAATAAGAGTGATTTTTGTATCAAGAGTTGTGCTTCCATTCCGAATAGAACGGTAATTACGTGTCATGCTACGTATAACAAGTTGACAAGTTGTATTGTAAATCGGTCCATGTAACATTACAGCGAGTTAATTGGTTTGCTTTTGAGGATTTTTTTTTTTTTTTCTTATACTTTCAATACGTTCAAGGATTTTCGTTGAGATGTTCGATAACATCGCCAATACAATTGGTATTGCGAGCTTTTAAAATTATTTATTTGTTTAACAATTTTTCGATACGTTAAAAAAATTTCAACGATGGTTTCTTTTTTTTTCTAAAAGAAAACAAAATTTTGCATGTATTCTTTTGTTTTTTTTTTTTTTTTTATTCATTCATCGTAAAAATCAAATACATTTAAAAATACGCAAAAACAAGCCAATTAACTCGACAACAATGTCATGCAAAGAGTAGAGTGACGGTACGACGTGTAGGATATTCGTATCGATTACTAGACACCTGGTTTTTGTAACGTTATCAATTCTAAAATAATCATTTTTAATAATTTATAATTTCTCTGCAAATCTTAACTTAAAAAGTTTAAACGAAACGAGGCTTCGTGTTATAAAAATATATTTATAAAACATATTTACATCATTATGGAAAACCTTTTAAATAATTTGGTGGGTCAAAATCAATTTTAAATTTCCATCTATTGCCTATAGTGCTGTACAATGATCAATTACCGCGAAAAGTTTCTCGATAAAACGCAATCTTACTTCGTGATGAACGAACAGTGTGTAAACGAGTATCCAAAAACTACCTCGTCGACAACCTTAAAAATAAACTTCTCTTTTACTTCGCCCGAGAAGATGTTTTACCGACAGAAAAATTACATCGCGCGGTTCGAACGTACGAAACGAAGGTTCAAGAAATTTTAATTCTTCATTTCATTTTCAAATTCCTTCGCTTTTAACTTACTCTCAGGTATTTTTCCTCGCGCCGAATACCGTGTTCCAGGGTATTTAGAAGGAGAAACAGGATTAACTCGAAACGGGATTAAAAGCTTGGCCGTGTTCGATCCAGCCGAGCATTATTCCGGTTTCGTTTCCACTTGGCGCGCTCTCCCCGTGAAACGTTACGCGAGCCGAAGCGAAATCTGAGATTCGTTCCCGGCATTATCACCCGCGCCGAACGCAGCGGAATCCAATACTCCTCCTTACGTGGGTAATCCAGCGGGTCGCGTTTAACCGTCAAGCAGCCGAAAGCCGACCGTGTGACTGACGCGCCGTTAAAAATATGCATGACGTCGAACGTAAAAATATTTTTACACTCTACGAAGGAGCGGAAGGCTTGTAAAAGGCGGCTGCATATCCTCCCCCCTGCCCCTCCCCTCCGCCGATTATCGCTCACCGAGAGCTCAATCTAACCTGCTATTCCGATCGATCCGGTGAAACCAGGATAATATGGTATCCGCGAGCGGAGACAAAATCGATCGAGTAATGTTTAACCTCGAAAGAAACTTTCGGTGTACAATGATCAATTACCGCGAAAAGTTTCTCGATAAAACGCAATCTTACTTCGTGATGAACGAACAGTGTGTAAACGAGTATCCAAAAACTACCTCGTCGACAACCTTAAAAATAAACTTCTCTTTTACTTCGCCCGAGAAGATGTTTTACCGACAGAAAAATTACATCGCGCGGTTCGAACGTACGAAACGAAGGTTCAAGAAATTTTAATTCTTCATTTCATTTTCAAATTCCTTCGCTTTTAACTTACTCTCAGGTATTTTTCCTCGCGCCGAATACCGTGTTCCAGGGTATTTAGAAGGAGAAACAGGATTAACTCGAAACGGGATTAAAAGCTTGGCCGTGTTCGATCCAGCCGAGCATTATTCCGGTTTCGTTTCCACTTGGCGCGCTCTCCCCGTGAAACGTTACGCGAGCCGAAGCGAAATCTGAGATTCGTTCCCGGCATTATCACCCGCGCCGAACGCAGCGGAATCCAATACTCCTCCTTACGTGGGTAATCCAGCGGGTCGCGTTTAACCGTCAAGCAGCCGAAAGCCGACCGTGTGACTGACGCGCCGTTAAAAATATGCATGACGTCGAACGTAAAAATATTTTTACACTCTACGAAGGAGCGGAAGGCTTGTAAAAGGCGGCTGCATATCCTCCCCCCCCTCCGCCGATTATCGCTCACCGAGAGCTCAATCTAACCTGCTATTCCGATCGATCCGGTGAAACCAGGATAATATGGTATCCGCGAGCGGAGACAAAATCGATCGAGTAATGTTTAACCTCGAAAGAAACTTTCGGTAGGAAATTTAGTTTATTTTTTTGGGAAGGATTATTTTTATACTTGATGGTACAACCAAAGATTTTTCTCGACGAATAATCCATATTTTCCTGAATTAACGTTCCTTCTAACGTCAAAGCAGTTTTTGTATTAATTTCAGTCGCAAAAAGGATCTCTGTATCGCTACAAAGATTCGTTTCTTCGGAAACGTAGGCGGAACGGATCGATAATAGTTATCGTTATGAATTTTATTTCATTGATTATTCCAACATTTTCAGGAAGGGGGAACGTTGGCGGTTTCGCTTTAAAACGAATTACACTTTTACGTCGCAATCCCTCTCCTCGCTAAACATACATAAACGTGCTCTCTGTGTAACTGACATAATTACGGTACCAAGAATGCGTGATGGTAATCCCAATTGTACAAGGCGCGCGCGTATTTTCCCCGGGATAAAGGAAATCTCGTTCGCGATTAAATGCAACGTCGCGACCTTATCGACGGGGCGTTGTTGGATAATGGGTTGCTAAGGTAAAGGCTAACCGCAACGTTAACCTTTTCGAGTGGCGCACGCATTTCGTTTATTCGATCCTTCGCTCCGCGACAGTTGAGCGAGTGTTTCAAGTGATTCGATCGAAAAATAAAATACAATTTTATTTACGACAAACTCTGGTTAACTACGTTTATATAAGTTTATATTCGTTTATTATTACGCAACGATTTTTCCTGACCTCTTAAAAAGATATCCGAGATTCTGTGACCCCGTTACCAGAATATGCAATTACGGCTAACAAATTACGCTAACTAAATCGATTTTTTTCCTTCCCTCTTATTATCCTATATATATATATAACGTTTCCAAGCAATCCGCCGCTCTGGAAATAATTAATTCTTAGTCTTCAACTATATTATTACCTCTTCTGTTTGTTCCTGACATTTTTCCCGATTTTAATTCCTTCTTTATACTTTTTTCCCCTCTTCCACCTTATATTCCTTTCTTCGTATTATATACACAGCGCGCTGTTTCAGAAATTTCCAGCTGAACAAAACGCCTCGCGCTGCACTGTATTTCGATAAATCTCAATACTCGCTTTCACCTAATTTCAGGTGGGCGATCGCGTTCGCCAAGGTCATAGATACTCTCTTCAGCTTATCTCGAAGTTGAGAAAGTAAACGGTCTTAAAATGAAGTCGTGATTCAACGAGCGAATCCTTAAAAGGAACGGGCCACTAAGCTGCGCTTGAAATCAGATATATAAATCGGAATGAAATCTTTTTACATGAAACAATCGGGGTCGAGCGTAAAACGGCAATTGATCTCGGGTACATATAATCGATGATGCCGGCAATGACTCGAGATTAACCTTTAGCATACCAAGTGATATTCGAGGATATATATTTTCTTAATGTCATAACTATTTGAAACTATAATCTTTGGTAATTTTCTTTTTTTTTTTTTTAATGTCACGTTATTAGTTCCAATACGCAAGGAAAAAATTTCTGCGAAAAATTAAAATATACGACAAAATTAAAATGCAATAATTAAAATTAGATTATAATATCGTATGTTGTCGTAATATTATTATTTTTTATCAAAGGTTGTACAAACAGATAGAATAAACGATCCGGTTGCCGTTTTTTTTAAGAATTAAATTCTTTTTAAAAATTTCTTTAAAAAGAAATATTCTTCAAGAAGAAATTAAATTACCGTATTACTTATAATTAATTAAATTAGTATTTTATTATTATATCACTGTATTGCGTTATTTTTTTTTTTTTTTTTTTGATATAAAAGAATAACTTTTACTTATCTGTAGTCAAAATCATTGCGATAATTTTTTCTAAGATATGATTATAAATTAAAATATGAATAAAGTATTTACTGAAAGTATTATTCCGTGAAACATATGTATATAATTTATCCGTTATAAAAAGTGCTACGAAATAGGGACTGATAATAAAATAAAAATTTCATTAGATTCATCAAAGATGAGAATAAATTTCTATATTACGAAACTATTAATAATTTTCGTTTTTAAAATATTTATCCAAAATATGTAAATATGAGTGCAGAAAAAATTAAAAAATACATAATTTCTTAAATATTCATTGAATAAAAGTTTTTCTGGATATAATTTTCCTGTCTTATGTTTACTTATAAATATCTATTGTATAGATGTGAAGAGAAAATTGTAATATTCAATGATAACAAAATCGATAATTTTTTAAATGTAATTCCCCTCAACAAAAACGTTATGACCAAAAATTAAACCAATCTAAAAACAAGAAGAAAACGTGACAAGATTATTTAAAAACTTTCAAAAGTCGAAGTTAGGTCACTTTGATATTTATAAGAATTATCAATTATCAATCAATATATCTATACAATACAGTGTCTTCGAACTACCGTTATTCTTTCGTCGAGAGATCGAGAGTCTGTTGCTCCGTTCGATGATTATACGAAAAAAAAAAAAAAAGAAAAAGAAAACTCGAACGAACGTGGAGAGAAGTAAACGGATTTATCACGTTGCGGAAATGATGGAGAAAAGCGTAATCGCGCATAAGTACTAAGAAACTCGACACTCACCGATGGCGTAACAGAGGATCAACAGCGCCGCAGCTACTCGAGACGCTCTCATGGTAGATTTCTTTTCTGGAATACTCGCGATGGAAGTGCACCAACCAAAGCGGTTTCCTCTCGTCACGTCATACCAGGCCGTCTCGTGAACGAACGTCGTGACCTTCCCCCTCGTGCGTTCCTCCTTTCAGCGAACCGCCATTATACCCCACCGACGATGCTGCTGTTGATTAACACACTCTTCCTTCCTCCACACCGGCACTTGGAAACGACGTCGTTCGCTAATAACTTGGCCCAACGTGTTTCCTTCCTCGACTTTTCAAATATACCGAACACCCATACAGCTTCTTCTTTTTTTTTCACACCACGTTCACCACACGTGCGATCCTCGAACAGGAGGATTGATATTTTTCTCCTCGAACAACGATCTTTCGTTAACCGAACGCATTTTCCACGTTCACACGTGTCGTCGAATCGTCTCGTCGGGGCGTTCATCCATCTCGGCGAACCTGCTGCTCCTCTCCTCCTTTCGACCTCCCGCTAGACCCTAGTGAAAATTTCCCCTCCGATCCCGGTAATTAATAGGCTGGTCGCTCGATAATCGCTTTTCCAATCCAGTGCTTCCTTCGAATCTATCGTTTCGCCGGTTGAAACTTGGTTATCGCGGCAGCTTATCTCGAATTTACTCGTTTAATTAAATGATTTTCCAAAGTTTTTCCAAAACGAATCGATCGAACTTTGCGGTTAATTTGCAAGCTGCGTGTCTTGGGCCGTCGCGGCCCTGCTCAGGGACGTTAATTAAAAAACTTGATATAATTCGTACGTATTCCTTCGCGATTCCACTTATTGCCTCTTCCTCTTCTCCCTCCCTCTTTAATATCCACCGTTGTTATTGCCTAACAAAGTTGGAGAGCATGATCTGGTGAAATAGGTGGGGTGAAGTTTCGAGGAAAACTTTTTGATATTGCCGGTGCCATTCTGGTCAAACAGGTGGCAAAAATGGAGGACGATTCGCTTACAAACTTAATCGGTATCGCGGGATTTCCGTTCCAACCTTTCGATCTCGTTTTATCGCAATTTCGAAATTGCGTTTAAACTTCTCCCGCGTTAAGAGAAAACTTGGTACACGTGTGTTGATGAAACGCCTCGTTCGTACGTAAATGATACGTTTGTAAGAGTGTTTTTAGATCAAGATTTGCGATATGGAAATTAAACGTCAAATTTTTAATGTTTTTATAAACTAAGGAAGGAATTCGAGTTATTCAATTTGAGTAAAAAGGAAACGAGAGCGTGCTAGACAAAGAATCGGCATCCGTTCAGCAATTTGTCTTATTCGGTGCATTTGAAAATCACCAGAGTTTCAAGAATTTGTGGGGAATACTAAAGCGGATATTACTGAAAATATGATCTATTCAAATTTTATATACACGTACAAAATATATCTTTCTTAATTCCTTAAGCGGTTATGTTGCATATGTGTATCAAGAGTTATTTCAAAATAGGAATGTATAATGTAATAATGTTTGAATGTAACAACAGAGAAAAATTCGTATCACTGTGGAATGAATATTCAGTGATGAAAGTGTAACGCTTAAGGGATTAATAATATAGAAAAGTAAGAACCGTGGTTTATACGAATTTAATCTTCTTAATTAAAAAATGTGACAAAATAGTAGTTTAGATATAATAAAATATAATGAAATTTTAGAACTGAGAATGAAAAGATTTTTAATAATAAGAATTTATATATTAGAGAATATTGTAGAACAAAAATATTCTAAAGATAATAATTCCCCCCCCTCCCCCCTCCCCCTCCCCCTCCCCCCGATATTTTTCTACAACTGTACAATACATATTACTATTTTTAAAAAAATAAATCTTGAAATCAATTTTGATTTATCATGGTATTTCTTTTATCGAGATACTGCTTTAAAGGTATTTTCAATCTATAGCCGACAAGAAGGGAATTTATGAAGATTAAAGTTTATTTTCTTCGAACAGAAAGCTAATAAAATATATGTTCTCATTCTTCGAACATCGAGGCAAAATAGAATACGATGTTTAAACAATTCAAAATTTAAACGACAATATATCAAGAAAAATTCAGCTTTTGAATTTTTTAAACGAAAACTCGAAATTCAAAAACAAACTCACTTTTCGTGATATGTAATCGTGTATATGTAATATTAATGAATTTAATGATAAAATATTTTAGAATATATTATATCCCATAATTTTTCCAAAGAAACAAATAGTGATAATAACGAATCACAATTAGCAGGAAAATTATTGATTAATTGATATAAAATATTTTTATACGTGTATACTATTATAAATATATATATATTTTTTTACTATTTACCAATGATCTTTCGAAATATACATTTAAAATGTTTTATATTATTTCAAATGGGAGCTTAACTCGAAGTTCGAATCACTTGTATCATAAATCTTTATTTATATGCCTAAAAAATGAAGCTCATCAACGTCTCATTTAATGTTAAAAATTATTATTTTCTATCACGTTCTTTACACGAGCAAGAGGTATTTATCACATAAAAATGAATAATTAATGTTCAAAAGAGAAAATTATTGAGAAATACTTGTTTCGTTAATTTTTTTTTTTTTTGTGGAAAGTATTACCTAGTTTTCTCTTACATCGTTAAATAATAATTGTGTTAATTGCAATAAGATCGAAATCGTGAAACCAAACAAAGGTTATTAGACGAAACGATATCGATTCAACGGTAGGTCACGTTCTTTCTTTCCTTTCTCCTCTTAACCATAAATAAGGGGATCTTATCGACCGAGCCAGGCTTTACGATCTCGCGGTTTTTTTTTTTTTCAGCAAAAACTTCGTTCGTGGCGAAAGATGGCTCGTGTAACGGTACATGTCGAGAAACCATCGATTCCAGTCGTGAAAATACCATCGCAATGTCTGCTTCCTAGTTCGTTAAGAGACACACATACATACGCACGTGTGCCCAAGCGAATAACCTTGAACTAAGCACACCCGAGTAAAGCGTTTGCCGGGAGAGCGAATAAATTGGAATCGATAGGTGCGATGGATCATTGTCTCGCTCGAAATTCTAAGATCGTGTGGATCGTGTTATTCGTACTCGAGAGAAACGTAGGTATCTTCGAATCAAGGGTTTATCTTTACAACGAAAACGTGCTTTATCACGTGAAACGATATCTACTTGGCGCCAAATTACACCGCACTCGTTATCTGAAATTAAGTCACGCCTCTTCAAACGTTTAAATTCGTTAAGTCTTTGCCGCTCGGAATACCAGCTGTGCTGCTGCTATTATAATACATCGTAATACATAAAATGTCCGATTTCAATCTATAAATTATACATTCGTCCCTATATAATTATTCATTTTGTAAAGAAAATAGTTTAGATAAAAATTGTATGGTCTCGAAGAAAATATGATTAATTGATAAATTAACTTTTTTTTTTTAGACGCGTGATATATGATTTATGTTTCATCGATAATTTCTTTAAATCATTAAATTTTAATGCACTAATTGATGCACAGCTCGCTTATTTCTCACAAAAAAAAAAAAATATATTAAGCTATTCAAAAGATATTTCAAATTTGTATTCTTTTTATACATCAAATTTTAATTTTAAAATTTTAAAATTTAAATACTTCCTTAATTAATATAATTCTTCGACGTAACTACTTTAATTCTTTATGATACTTGGAATTCCAACTCTACTGATATAGTGTAATCTTTCCAACAACTGGAATGCCACTTATACTGACATAATTCATACAATCTTTCCGGCAACTCGAAATACCGATTATACTGACGGATAATTTTTTATCATCGTATTATACGTAATTATATAAGAGCATCTATTTGTACAAAATATATCATCGAATGAAATATATTTGAAAATTTAGATTCAAATAAAATTTGAATCTTTCAGAAAAAAAAAAGAATTCAAATATAGATAGGATAAATAATTGATAGAAAAAATGTTTCTGCGATTCAATTTAAAAACTGCAACTATGTACTTATAGTTAACGAGTCGAAAAGTATATTTTAATTAGAGTTCCAGAATTTATTAATTGTAATATATTTTCTTTATTAATAAACGCGATAAAAAATATAATAAAGTGCAAAAGAACGTGTACGAAAATATTTGAAAAGATAGATCTGATGATATGGATAATTGCAACAAATATATATATATATATTTATTATTCAAATAATTGTCAAATTTAAATAAAAATATATTTGTTCGATATCTTCAATGGATAAATTCTGACGAAGAAATATTCTCGATAGTAGAATGGTGCCAAGCATTGATAGGAATGAAGATCGTGAATGCTATGACATGAATGAACGAGGATAATGCATCAACACGTAATAATAATAATAGCAACGAAGATGCTATACATTCCAGTTATTAATCGAAAGCAATGAATCTTTTTAAACAGACGTCAAAATGTAAATAAATTGGCGTATAATTAATAAACCAACATTTCTTATTCATAACAAGTAATTATGCAATTTTTATCTGCAAATAACTATCATTATCGCTACAATGAATTCTTCCTATATACATGTGTCGTAATGATTTTCACTTATCAATTGTTTATATAAACACATCGCGGCAACAGGTATTCGAAATGTATAACGGGTGAGCTAATATTATATTATATTATATATTTAATATCTATCCAAAACAAATTTTTTGAAAATAAAATGTAAAATAATTCTTAATTGTAATCCATTTATTTTAATTTTGATCATTTCGATTTCAGTTTCGTCCAAGATTTGTTTCATATTATATTATTGTATCTTACTAATAGAATTAGTCAAAATCTCTATAGATTGATTAAGGTTGAGAAGATTTCGAGCTCGAATCCACAGAAAAGTAATTTTTTAATCGGTTCACCCGTTGTACATTTTAAACACCAGCAGTTGCAATGTATTTATATAAAGCAATAGATAAATATCACATCTGTTACATATTGACGTATACATTGTCATTGAAAACGTATGCATAAGAGAAATTCGATGCAACAGTGGCAACAATTTTTTGTAAATATCTTGCAAATTAAAAAAGTCTGACATTTTTGCGAGAGAAAAAAATTGGTTAAAATATTGATGTTTAAAAATTATTGAAATCTAATTTACAAATTTACCACATCTTTGAATATCCGTAGAAAAAATAAAAACTCGTAATATTTTAAAAATTATATCTTAAATCACTTTCGTATGACCCCTATCTGTCAAGAAAAATTAATCACATTCTGTTCAAAAGTATTCGATTTTTGTCCATCTTTTTTTACATAACCGATAGTTGACGAGTAATTTCCATCTACAGATTAAAAACATCAAACATCTTATAAATAGATTAATTTTGATACGAAAAATATTGATGATGCGAAAGAAATTTTTCCTTGTGATTTGAAAACATTGTGAATGTCTATTTGTTATATAAAAAAATGTGCAATAAAGAAGTAATCACAAGATTATAATGCACAAGATTATTTAATCAAAAACAGTTGACGAGAGATATCTGAATGTCGAAATTACAATCAAACGGGCCAGGTATCTGACAGCGACAATAAAACAATGCTTTGATAACGGATCACAATTTTATTTTTCAATTGTCTCGAGGAAATATCAAAGATCATATAATATGTCTGAATTACGTGATAAGCCTAAGAAGGAAAAAAAAAAAAAAAAAACAAAGTTATTTTTATAACTTTACTGATAGAAAATTTCAGCTTTATCTAAAGAATCTTAAAATATTATTATATTCCACGCTATAACGTGAAGATATAATCTTTTATTTATATTAAACGTATAATTATACAATTTTATATAAAAATCATATATCATATATTTCAGACATAATAATAATCCGAAGAATTAAAAAAGGAACAAATAAA